TCGAGGCGACCTCGGGTCCAGGAAATACGCAAAACCGCCTCGCCATCCAGGATACAAATTCGGGAACGAGGTTTTTAATCGACACGGGCGCGGATGTCTCCGTTCTACCCAAGAAGTCGCTAATCCGACGTGCAACTTCAACAAATCTTAAGATTTATGCAGCAAACGGCACTGCGATCAATACGTACGGCGTTAAAACTCTTACATTAAAGTTATCATTACGCAGATCTTTTAAATGGGAATTCCTAGTAGCTGACGTTCAACAAGCAATAATTGGAGCCGATTTCCTGAAACACCATAACCTCTTAGTGGACTTACATGGCCGTCGTCTTATTGATGGAACAACGAAGCTCAAAGTTGATGGAGACTTAACTCCGTGTTGCACACCATTACTTTCAACCATCAGTAACGATAACCCATGTAGTGATCTCTTACGAGAATTCAGCAGCGTCACTCGATCGTCCAGCAAAAACTCAAGAACCTAAACACGCAGTTTAACATCATATCATTACAGAAGGTCTGCCCGTCGCTGAACGAGCCCGCCGCCTCTCACCGACTCGTGCAAAGGCCGCACGCCTCGAATTCGAACGTATGCTACACGAAGGCATTTGTAAACCATCCTCTAGTCCTTGGGCCAGCCCTCTCCATATGGTACGGAAGAAGAATGGCAGATGGAGACTATGTGGCGACTACCGCCGCGTAAATAAGAAAACACGACCGGATAGATACCTTATCCCTCATATACACGATTTTGCACATCGCCTACGAGGATGCAGAGTATTTACTGTATTAGACTTAGTTAAAGCTTTTCATCAAATTCCTATAGCACCGGAAGATCAGCAGAAAACCGCAATAATAACACCTTTTGGCCTTTTCCAGTACAAACAAATGAATTTCGAATTATGTAATGCCGCACAATCGTTTCAGAGGCTAATGGACACAGTCCTTAGAGGATTAGAATACGTCTTTTGTTACATAGACGATATTATCATCGCATCGAAGACGCCACAGCAGCACAGAGAACACCTCCGCGAAGTTCTTAAAAGACTATAGGAGCACGGACTGTTTATCAACCTCGAAAAATGCACATTTGGCGCATCGGAAGTTCAATACCTCGGACATTTAATCAACAGCGAGGGAATAACTACTCTCAAAGACAAAGTCGCTGCGATTATCGATTACCCAAAGCCACGAACAATAATGGAGCTACGCAGATTTTTTGGATTAATAAATTTTTATCGCAGATTCGTCAAGGATGCCGCCATTACTCAAGCGCCTCTTAATGCACTAATCAAAAGATCCACTAAACGAGACAAACGTCCAATATCTTGGCCGAAGCAGAACGCGCGTTTGACGAATGCAAACAACAGCTCGCAAATGCATCCCTCTTGGCTCACCCCAGCGAAGACGGATCGATAATCCTGTGCACAGACGCATCGAATACAACTATAGAAGTAACTCTACAGCAAGTACAAGAAGGTAAACGCGTACCTCTAGGATTTTACTCACGAAAATTATCCGAGGCACAAAAAAGTTTAGTAATGATCGCGAACTACTCGCAATTTACAACAGCATTAAATTCTTTCGTTATATGCTGGAAGGACGCGAATGTATTATTGCAACCGACCATAAACTATTAACCTATGCGTTCGACCAAAAGTCTGATAAAGCTTCACCGCTTCAATTTGCTTCAATTATGTCATTTAGATTACATTGGTCAATTTTCTACTAAAATCGTGTATTTACCTGGAGTAGATAACACTGCCGCAGATGCATTATCTCGCATTCAAGCTATTAGTATGCCTGTAATAGTCTCCACCGAAGACATAGCAGACGCACAAGCTGAAGATCAAGAGTTACAATCCCTATTACAATCTCAAACTAATTTAAAACTACGCAAATTACGCTTAGACAATACCGAACGTGCAATCTACTGCGATATCTCTGGTGATGACGTTCGTCCGTACATTCCTCAATCTCTCCGAAGGAAGATTTTTGATAACACTTATCGTGTATCACATCCGGGAATTCGTGCCACTAAGCAATGCATCACGCGAAAATTTGTCTGGCCCGATATTAACAAAAATATAACTCACTGGGTCAAAACATGCCTTGCTTGCCAACGCGCAAAAATCCAGCGTTACAAGCGTAACATCTCTGAACATATTAAAGTTTCTGACACAAGATTTTATCACGTACACCTTGACATTGTTGGACCTCTGCCCGTATCTCGCGGTTACAGGTACTGCCTCACAGCCATCGATAGATTTACCCGTTGGCCGGAAGCGACGCCCTTAGCAGATATAACAGCTGATACTATCGTCACGGCATTTTATGCTACATGGGTTGCCCGTTTTGGAGCTCCAGCCTTAATTACGACGGATCGTGGATCTCAATTCGAGTCTGCACTATTTGAAGCCTTAACCAGATTACTGGGAGCAAAAAAAGAGTAAGAACAACACCATACCATCCAGCATCCAACGGTGCCATAGAACGGTTCCACCGCTCTTTAAAAGCAGCCATTCGTACCCACGCAAACATCGAATGGGTAGACGTTTTGCCTAAGGTACTACTAGGATTACGAGCCAGCTTGAAGAAAGATATTAAAACTAGCGCAGCTGAGTTAGTATACGGAACACCACTTCGACTCCCAGCGGAATACTTCGTCGACGAAGATCCATCACCAGATCCTCAAGTCTTTATAGAACGTCTGCGCCAACATATGCGCAAAGTCCGCCCCGAGCCAGCAGCTCACCACAACAAGCCCAAAGCGTTCGCTCTCAAGAATCTGTATTCGTGCTCGCACGTGTTTATTCGTGTTGGAGGCATCAAGAGGCTATTAGATCAACCGTATGTAGGTCCGTACAAAGTGATAGAACGAATTTCTGACAACGTGTTCAAGATCAATATAAAAGGAGAACCAGCAACTATTTCTACAGAACAATTGAAACCAGCTTATTTTAAAATTCTTCCGACAACACCGGAAGAGATGAACACCTCTTCACCAGCAATCCCAGGTACCTCATCAACATTGAAAACCTATCCAGCTCCGAAGACTAAGAAAACTGTCAGTTTCAGAACATAAGTTCCTGAAGATTATTAAGAAGGGGGGTAGTGTGGTGACTATTCCCTAGACGGCGGCGCCAGCTTGATGATATTCCTAGACAGCGCCAGTTTACCAATCTTACCAATCTACCTTATTATCATATATTCACTGTTTGTAAAGAGTTCTAGAGAGATCGAAGTTTGTAATAAAGACGTTAACATCGTACTAAAGAGCACTCTTACGATTATTCCGATAATACCCTCGCTATATACAAGTTCAACCCGACAACCATAATGCTATCTCACCTTGTCCCGAGTTTGTCAAAATTAGTTGCATTAACGACAAGCTGCTTGTTGGCAACATGGCAGCAAACACAGCATTTGGCTATCTGGGCAGAATATCTATCACGCGGCGATGGTCACGACTGTCACTATTTATTTCTAGGTTATAACTGACTTACGTTTACGCGAGCGTTACTTCTGTAGTAACTTACGATAATTCACTCGTTTACACAGAATAAATTATCGTAAGTTATACCACAAAACTCCGTTTACGTGAAGAAATTATCATAAGTTACTATAAAAGTAATGCTCGCGTAAACATAGCTTGACAGCGCGTTAAACCGGCTGAACGCACTATCTGCACTGAGCGCAGAACGCACACGTACATACATGTACTGCAGTGCACGGTCTGCATGGGCATCACTGCCCTTTCGTGTCAAAAATAGAAAAGTGACACACCAGCCGCCATTTTTGTCCAACGACGACGATGACGACGTAAACGTTTTTTAAATAAAAATTTCCACATTTGGACTTTGCATCGCAATATCTCCGCTTGTAGGGCACGTAACGGAAATATAAAGACACTTTTATTATATTTTGGTCCAAGCTACCCATTAAGCCATATCCATTTAGAACTTGATCCGTTCACTGGTCAGATCTCAAAATCTCGGATACTCGCAACTCGTAGCGTCGTCGCGTCACAAATGATCCACGGTGCGGTCTCGCTTAGCGTATACTTAGCGCGAGACACTACCGTGTTTCTTGATTCATGAATTCATAACTTGATAACCAAGATTAATTATGTCTTCTCAAATCGAATATTGACATTTCAACTAATTGAAAAGAAAATATAAACTTGTGAATGTAATTTAACCCCTTGACTATCAATAATAGAAATATCCGCAAAAACACTGGCCAGGACTGTTCATGATGGAAAAATCCGCACATTCAAGAAAAAATACTTTTAATGGAGCAATTTGAACAGGGCCCTATATCTATATGTTTGTGGAGTTACTGAAATCAAAATTGCGAAATTTAAAATAGCGGTCTATATGTTTGTGGGGTTGCTGAAGTCAAATCTAAAATTAAAATTGCGAAATTTAAAATGACGGACTAAAAATAAAATTGTTCAATTTGCATAAAAATTTATATTTAAAAGTTTTTAAAGTTGATTTAAAATTTAAAATATAAATTCAAGAATTTAAAATGGCAAATTTAATATAATAAGCAAAAAGTTCATAATATAGTTTAATTGCATAAAATGTTTTGAAGAGTTTTTAGCTCGGTTTTTAGAGCCGCTCATTCCGTTTTTAAAATTAAAATTTATTAATTTCAAATGACGGACTTATTATGACGGCAAAATAATTTCAAATATCGCTTAATTTGCATAAAAATTAATTTATAAAAATTTTTATAAACTTTTCCGTTATTTTAAATTTTGAAATGTTGACCTCAAATTTAGATTTAGCGACTCAAAAAACTTCCAGAAAGCATTTTTATATAATTTCATTCAACTCTTTTGTTAGAAGTATTTTCAGTCTATCAGCATTTTTTTCGCCTAACAACCAAGGGGTTACGAATTCAATGTCCCTTAAAGTGCCAAAAGTCTAACGTTCGAAATAAATTGCGACTCCTAACGAGTTATATTCCTGATTCCATCTTTTCTCACGCACCTTTCGAGATTGACATAAACGACGCGAGTTCCATCTTCGAATACGGCTCGCCCATCTCTGTCATGACTTTCTTGAAAGAATGGAACGCGCTATCCTTGTCGTATATGTTGTCTTGATAGACCTCGTCGGCCAGCAGAAACAGGTGATGTTTATGAGCGAAGTGGATGACGTCTTCGATGTTCTTGCGAGTCAATACTTGACCTGTTGGATTACCGGGATTGATCACTACTAGCACTCGAGGATTACACGTATCCTTGACCTCTCCTAGTGCTCGTTCTAGCTCGTTGATTTGCAGCGACCACTTGTTGTCCTCATCCAGATAGTATCCAATCTGGGCGAGACCAAACTCCGCCAGAGTTGCCGAGAACAAAGGATACTGTGGAATCGGGATCATTACGCCGGATGGCTTATCATCGATCCTTTCGTTGAATAGCCTTAGGAATGACTAAAAAGGAAAAATTTTAAAGACAAGGTTGCGATGAAAAAAGACAAAATATAGCACTAATAGTTAGTATCCCATCAGTTTGTCCAAAATACCAGAATTTGCCAATTTCAATTTTATATACTGTGTATTGCGTCAAAATCACTCTCTAATATATAGATATGTAAATAATATATGTGCTATTCTCATAAAATAACTTTATATTTTTTATTATTATATAGAAAAAAAGATAGATATTGACAAAAGGGGACCCAGCTCTTATAATCTTGATCTTGACATATTATAGGGATTACCCACTTGAATAATCTTCAGGAAGTTTTAGCCGTCGATCGGTCTGAAGGTTACTTAAGAGAGTGACCTGTATAATATATGTCAAGGTTAAAGTCATAGGAACTGAACCCCCTTTTGTCAATATTTACCGAGAAAAATAGTAACAAGATTGCAAAACTTTTCAACTTTTTTTTACTTAAAATTGATTTTCACTTTGATATCTGACAATCTATTTTTCAGAACGTTACTAAATAACTAGATTGTTTCCAAATGATTGCTTCTAATTTCGAATAACAAAAAAACAAGAAAAATGCTTCGAGTTTGCGTACTTTGATACCGTCGGAAGCACCGTTCGAGAGAATGATATTGTGGTAATCGCAGGGGATACCGCCATCGCGTTCCTGGATATATCGTGCAACATCTTTGCGAACACGCTCGATGCCGGCCGATTCCGAGTATGCGCCCACGCTGCCTCCCTTGCAGCCCTCCAGGACCATCCGAGCGCGAGCCTTCGCGTCCTCCGGGTAGCTTGGATCGTTCAACAGATTCGGCGAGACAGTTAGAGTGAGCACCTGCCGTAGAAACGTAATGGGTTGCTGGCCCATTGCGTGGGCATCACCCCCAGTTGATTTCGTCACCTCTTTAAAGGGTTTTTTAACACCCTATAAAGAGAAATGATCTTAATTTCAATCGCGCGATCTTCGTATTTATTTTTCAAATATTTCCAAGTGACTACACGGAGAGAAAAATCTTACCACTGTGGTAGAGCGCCTTCTATGCATAAAAAACAGTAGCGCTGCCTTGCATCGAACGCATAAATTTGTCCGTTTAAGGCAAGGATAATATCCTACTTCACAGGGACAGCGTTTCGTGTCCGATAAGCAATAACTTCATACAGATATCGTATGAAAACGGTTATGCTTGTAATGCAAAAAGTTCATGTCACCACAGGGATGAAATAGGATATTATCCTTGCCTTAAACGGACAAATTCATGCGTTTGATGCAAGGCAGCGCTACATGCTTTTTATGCATGGGAGGCGCTCATACCATAGAGGTAAGATTTTTCTCTCCGTGAGAGATATGACGTTCTTGCGTTCAAAGCAAAGCAGCTGACATGCGCTGTTGGTAAGAACTGCAACTTCCCAAGCATGCCGTTAACAGCGTACACGCATGAAGATTTCACTAATATAGTAGGGATATCTCTTGTACTCGAAACGCGTTATTTCTTACTATAGGAGTATATATGATTTTTGCTAGTGACGTATGCGGAGAAGTTATGCGTTATAAGCATGGCTCTCCATGCCACAGAGGTAAAATTTTTCTTTCCGTGTATAAACTACATAAATCGGATTTTTGTTGAAACAAAAAAAGGTGAAATTCTTTATTATTTATTCAAATCTTTGAAGCGATTCTCATTTCTGATTGCTTACAATTTAAATAACTTAGTGTTTATGTTTCAACTGTTGTTTCTGAGAAAAATCGATACCTCAATATACATTATCACGTCTTTTTACTCGGTAATTACGCCCGAGACGCAAAACGGATCAAAAGAGAAGATGAGAAGAGAAGGATGACGGGCCTTTCCAACGGGTTTCTCGCACAATCTGACAATTATACTCAGAATCAAAGTTGAGCGCCAGACGCGTAAGCTCGCGTTCACGTACCAAAATCGCGAAAACCCGAAAATAAACACGAAAACGTAATTAGTCAGACGTGCGAGAAATCGGCCAGTTTGACCTAACGGCTGTGGGCGAGGTTGATAATGGGCAGCGCAAAAATTCGGTGAGGTGACAGTTAAGCAACATTCAGATATTTAATAATAATCAGTAACAATGTTTATTATGATTAAGAAACATAGTGAAATTAGGTGTCAACGAGGAAGAATTTAGCGAATTAAATGATTGAGTAGTGGAAGTTACATAGCAATCTAAACTAAATAATTGAATAATAGAATTCGTAAAATTACATCAATAAATTAATAAAAAATTGAACAAGAGAGTTAACAGAACTTTGTATGAAATCGCGGTAAACCGTAATGATATAACTGAATCGAAATTATTCTGATACAATCGAACCAAATACAATTAGATACTGACTCGAATTAACATCGCAAAAAAAAAAGTAAACGCGAATTACATAATAGAACTTAATACTAGACATGAAATATAGTTAAGTGGAAGAAATGCTGCGCCACGCTCGACGCGCAAGGATGCAATATTCGGAATCGCGAAAGGGTTCTGTTGCCAAGATACTATATGCTCCCCCCCAGGGGTCAGTGGCGACTCTTGGGACCTCTTAGGGGCTCTTGGGAGGCGTCACTGATACCGGTTTGGCGAACCCGGGGTACCCGAGCTCGGGCAGGCTAGGCTCGTCAGACACGGAAGCCAACCAGCCTAGAGGAAGGACACCCCAAAATCAAACCAATTCTTTTTGTATAATATGGCGGATAAAAAAAAGAAAAGGTCCCAGAGTGATTGGACACTCAGAGGTCGGCGAAAGGGGTGAGTATTGTCCCAGCCATCTCTTTTGTCGTTATCGAACGATGGGCCATCCGCTGGGTTGGGGGCGAGCCCGGCGGAGGAACTGCCGATCGCCGCCAAAAATGCAAGGTGGTACTCCGAAAGGTAGAAACTCACTCCTCCGGAGGGGACAAGAGGGTGTTTTTCGAGGGGGAAAGTGAAAAGGAGAGAGCGCACCCGGTCAAGCGTGCGGGACTTAAACCCCCTCCGATTCTGTCGGAGGAGGAAGAGGAGTCATGGGCGGAGGAACTCCGAAATAAGGACATAATCTCCCTTTATAGGGAGAATAGGGCGGCGTTGACTAGGTTGATGCAGATGGAGACTACGCCTGAGGCCATTCAGGACCAGAGGAGGATCTTCTTCTTTACGAAGAAGATTGGACTGAGGGCACTGGATGCACTTTCCGAGGTAGAAAAGGGGACTAAAAAGGAGGCTAAATCTGGAGAAAGATTTAGGCAGTTAGAGGAGAAGAGATCCGCCCTTGCTAAGAGGGTGGAGGCTCTCGAGATGAAGCTCCTGACGGAAAGGAGCGAGTCTGGCGTGGAGATATGCGAGGTTTCCGCATAGACGGAGTTGGTGCCGTGGAAGACGTCGGTGAAAAACGGCTCCACGCAGATGCGAACATACGCACGCGAGAGAAGAAGGACGCTCTCTGCCTCCGTGGGAAAAGACTCCCCCATGGAGGTGGAGATAGTGCCATTGATGTCGGTACGCGGGGTTGCCGTACAAGCGGAACCGGAACCACAAGAGCCTGTGGTTGAGAGGAGGACGGATGTCTTAGTTTTTGTGGCGGGCGTTCGGGGGTTAGCTCTCGGGTCAAGACCCTTGAACGCAAATTGGAGGGCTTCATGACGGAGATGCGGTTTCTCATAAAGCAGAAAGAGGGCATTCCCCTCCGCCAGGAGGATTGATGAGGGGAGCGCTATTCGGAGTGGCGGAGCCTCTAGAGGCCCGCTTTCCCTCGTGCAAATAAGCCGGGGGGTCGCAGGTCTCTTGGAACAGGGAAGAGTTGTGGGGCAAGGTGCCCCCTCCTCCTTCGATGGATGGGGAAACCAGTCAGAGTCGGGCCAAGGGGAAGATAGTGCCTGCTTTCCCCAAAAGGGCGGTCGTGGCGTTGACCGTGGCACGGTGCACCGCCCCGGGAGATCGCAGCGATGCTTGCTATCGCTGTGGTGCGAGATCCCACCGGGCCAGTTTCTGCGATGTGGGGGTCCCAAGACGTCCACTTTGCGTGGACTTGAAGCTCCCGGCGGAGCACCGGCTGAGGGGGGGGCGGGGTATACCCGCCGCGCACGGAGGGGTTGTGGAGGACAGGGGTCGCCGACTAACTCGGCCTTTAGCCGGGCGGCGGTTCCTTCTTCCCTACTGATCGAGGTTGACATGTGCGAGGAAAAGCGCCCGGCCATTTAATGTTAAGCGTTGCGGGCTGGGGGGGCTCGGGCGGGGTTCCCTACGGGCCCTGTCATTTGCGTCTCCCCTGGTCCGCGGAGGGTAGGGGTCCGAGCTACGGAGGTGGCGAGAAACGCCTCCAACGCTCTGACCACACCTGCCCTCTATAGGAGGGCGCGAGGAGGAGAGGGGCCTACCACTTGGTGATGATTACCCCTCTCCTTTCTCGCTCGGGGGGCGTGCGTGTGGTCGGGGACTACCACACGCCCGCTGCAAACATAGCATCTTTGGAGGGAGGAATGGCGGGTAGAGGTGATATCACCTACTCGCCACAAGTTAGCTCAGCCCGGTCAAGGCAAGGAAGAGGGAAGGATTTATAACCTCCTCTTTTTCGGGAAAATTGCCCCTTCAGGGCAAGGCGTGGGGGGGCTCACGGATGATATCAGTGCGTTTCTCGGGGTCCCTGCTACATAGCGCGGCAAGGGACATCCGTAGAAGTTTTAGCTGGTAGGTCATGCATGCAGTATCGTGGCGATGTGCATGCAGGGAATCCGACACTCTGTCTGCCTCTCCCCGGTAGCCGGGGGGTCTTCCTCTACTATTGGGCAAACCGGGCAACCAGGATCCCAGTAGTAGAAAATTTCTCCTGCGTTAAAAAAAAGATACTATCCCGAGTAGAAATTTATCCGCATCCCATATTTAATGCTGGCCCCGTATGGACATTACTAAGGCATCCAAAATAAGGACTTGTCAAACTCAAACCTATTTAGGACCTATATAGTTAGAACTTAGTTTTTGTTTTTAATTTGAGCATGTCTAACTATAGCTCATACAAGGCCCAGTTTGGTCACGACTTTTCTCCCAAAACAATTTAATGTAAGATTTCCTAGTTTACCCCATACAGGGCCCAGTTTAGTCACGATTTTTCTCCCAAGATTGTTTAATGTAGGATTTCCTAATTGTAGCCCATACAGGGCCCAGTTTGGTCATAATTTTTCTCCCAAGACAGTTTAATGTAGGATTTCCTAGTTGTAGCCCGTACAGGGTCCAGTTTGGTCACGACTTCCCGTGTAGAAATTTGTTAGGGATGGCCTTACATAACATAAGATTCCGATCATTATTTATTAGGGATGCCATAAGAAAGGTTTTCTTATTTTTGTCTAATGAGGCCCTTGTAGTAAGGATTTGAAAAGGATATTAACTTCATAAATATACTTTTTTTATAAATATATTTATAAAAACACAAAATTTCGTAATAAGCCGGCACTAGTTTCTGACATTTACCCGATATTAAAAAATATTATATCATATATCCAATTCAAAATTTTATTACTTTTTTTAAACTAAATTTGTTTCTTAAGATGATTTTTGAAAAATTATATATTTGCGCTGGTTATGACATATGTAGACTATATATAACACTTACATTAAATTAAGAAATAGTCTCCCACGTAAAGGCCCTTACAGACAGGACGCGTCAAACGTCGAGCAGCAACCCAATCGGCGAGGTGATATCAGCAGTGGCGTAGAAAACATCGCCTCGCTGATTGGGTTGCTGCTCGCTGCTCAACGCTTGACGCGTCCTGTCTGTAAAGGCCTTAAGGCAGTTGGCTCACGATCCAGAGGTCCCGAGGTCCCAAGTTCGAATACCACCAAGGTATTTTTTTCAAATACAAGAAAATATTTATAATCATAGACTGCATCTTAAGAAACAAATTTAGTTAAAAAATAGTAATAAAATTTCAAAATAAA